GGCTGAAGCCCTATGTTCCTCTAGGAATTAAAGGAAACAATAGTAATAAAATAGCGTGTTTAAGGAAAAATCAAAACGAGATTCTTCTGAACAATTCGCCGTGTAAGTCACAGCTTCTTCTTCAGAGGAATTATTCGGATTTTATTAATCATCAAAATATATAATCGAAAATGACATAAATTAAAGTCAGTCCCTTTGACAATCACTTGTCAGTAGAGATTTGTACCAACAAAAAAATCTAAAAATACCCATCACAAGACTGATGTCAAGTTGTCATATATGCATGTTTGTCCGTATGAGTGTGTGTATTGTTTGTTTGTCATGTGGAAAACACATCAAAACATGACAGTATTTCATAATACGGTCATAGTATATATAGGCTTCAGAGTTCAGCCTTAATGTATGTGACTGAAAAACTTTTCCTAGAGTTTCAACAAAGTTAGAATCGATATTATTTCCTCTTTCTATAGCATGCATTGCTACAGCTGATGATTTTGTAGACTTTTTAATTCTACTTTATTTCTAGATGGACGTTTCGTGCACAGTCTATAATCATTCACTCTGACCTTCGCCTGTCTGTTGCTCTCCCCTATATAATAGCAAGCTTCACATTCTAAACATTTTATCCTATAGACACAGTTGTTTTGTGTCATTTTTGGGAAACATATCTATGACATTCACTAAAGCTTCCTCTAGAGAATTAGACGGCTTAAAATAGACTTTAAAATTATATGAAGTGAGTAGTCTTTGAAGTTGTTCAGCTGTCTCCTTTATTGGCAGTATTATTTAGCAGTTGTTTTTGGATAACCATTTCCAATCGAAATTTGTTTTATATTGTAATTCGTATAGAATTTATTGTTGACTGTTGTTCTACATAATTTATGACATTCGATGGGAAGAACTGTAAAATTTCATCAACAAATGCCTTCGCTAGTTTGACACTGAAGACAAAATATTCGAAAAGGATAAACGAGAAGGAACTTAAGCAGGCAGCGAACTAACGAATAACTCATTAAGCGGTGAATATGCAGGAAGAAAAAGAGATGAACTGGACATACACTGAAGAGACAGTTGAATGGCATAACTTGCCAAGCAAGTCAACGAGTCAGAAAAGTTGGATTAGGTATCCGTGGTTGACACGGAGGAGATTGTGTGAAGAGGAAAAGAAAACTTGCGTACAGCTGTCAAGTCAATTGGAATTGATGACAGAGAACAGAGTAAAGTGGTGGTGTGTTTCTGAAGCTCCATTTTCACTAGGGAATAATAATGATAATAGTGTGTGAATTTTCAAGATTGGATTCCTTGATGTGTTTTTTTTTAACACTTACTAGAGTGTACTGAGATAAGCTGACGTAGCAGATGATGGCATGCAGTCATCAATGATATAATATGTGAGGGAAGAAAGAGCCATAATTGCATTAAATATACTTGCTATTAGATATGATGGAGAAGATTTGTAGCTCAGGTGGATGATTCTGATGTGGTTGTGTTCTCTGAGCTGGAAGCTTTCATTGCCCTACTAAGCAACATCTTCAGCTCATACATCAATTTGTTGAAGTGGACTTCTAGATTTCTCCACGAGTTTATTAGTCATCTCTCCTGGCGACACCTTGAATGTGATTGGTTGTTTTGTGTGTTTTCACATCCTCTAGGCTACTTGTATAGAAACTGATTGTTTCCTTGACTAGAAGTTTGATCCCTTGTGTGTGAGACTTCCTTCTTATCGGCTGGTAAATTTTGTCTATCTCGATGTGCCTATTGATTGATGATTCACTGGAATATCGGTCTTCTAAAAATTGTCTAGTATTCTTGGTGTTTCTTCTGTGTAATATCTGAGCGTTGGTTGTCCCAGTCGAGTTGATGTCCATGGTTGTCTGTATGTAGTGATATGAGAGAGTGGATGTCATGTCTTTTGACGACTAGTTTATGATCATGGATATGAAGACAGAGGGGACGTCCACTTTGGGCAATGTAGTGTTTTTCGCAGTTGTTACAATTTATTTTGTAGATGATGTTGGTTTTATCTTCTTTCATTGTTGAGTCTTTTGATTGACATAGAACTGAGTGAAGTGATTTTTTTGGTTTGTGTGTGAACATAAGCTAACCGTCAAAAGATATGACATCCACTCTCTCATATCACTACATACAGACAACCAAGGACATCAACTCGACTGGGACAACGTTCATATATTAGACAGAGGAAACACCAAGAATGCTAGAGAATTTTTAGAAGACTGGTATTCCAGTGAATCGTTAATGAATAAACACATCGAGATAGACAAAATTTACCAGTCGATACGAAGGAAACCTCATACACAAAGGGTCAAACTTCGAGTCAAGGAAACAATCAGTTTCAATACAAGTAGCCTAGATGGTGTGAAAACACACAAAAACAACCAATCACATTCAAGGTCGTCACCAGGAGAGATGACTAATAAACTCGTGGAGAAATCTAGAAGTCCACTTCAACAAATTGATGTATGCGCTGAAGATGTTGCCGATTAGGGGGTAATGAAAGCTTCGGAAATCAACTATCCAGCTCAGAGAACACAACCACATCAAAATCATTTGCTATTATCTATCTTTTACGATTACGTGATTCAACAAATTAAGCCTTTAGATTCCAAGGCATACTGTTTGTCTGTTGGCCAGTAGGTGTAAAGATTCAATATGTAATCTTTATTTAAATACAGTATTTCCAGGGAATAAATCGATATATTTTGCATGAACATCAGTGCTAGGCTGGAATTCATTCCAGGCTACTAATACATCCATTTATGTCATTGTGAAATTTCTCAATTCAAGCTATCAGACAGAATTTAATGCCAGTTAAATAAACTTGCCGATCGCCTCTAAACATCTAACATCAATTCAGAGTGCAATGGCGATGGCGAGTCACCTAGCTTGACGACCACATTTCAATCTTGACTGTTATAGAATTTAGTCAGCTCCAAAACCAAGGACCAGACACATGACATTAGTTACTTCTTAATGACCAATCAATGTATCCATGACAACCCTATAGGAGGTTTCAGTCATGAGCCTGAATAGCTCAGTGATAATTTTATCATTGACTTAAGCACTGGCTGACACGGGCTCAAATCCCAGAAGAGACATCAGTTCTTTCAGGGTCACCCTTCTGACAATTATCAACGGGCAAAACCTATCTCCAGGGCTTTACGTTGACTGCCTCCTAACATCTAAATGAATTTGCATAGAGTTGTTAAAAAAGAGAAGTTTTTCTGAAAAATATGACATATTTGTTCGATAGACTTTAAACATCCTAATCACACAGTTTATGTTGAAATAATGCGTCGGTGGCTCAGGGGTAGAATGCTTACCAACCACGGATGTGGTTCGGGGTTCGATTCCCGGCCGACGCACTCCCTTACCTCGCTAACCTAGTAATAAGACTGGTAAAGAGTGAACGTTGGGCAGAAGGCTAGCAAAGCCATCTCGAAAACATAAACACCACTGCTAACGAAACTTCAAAACTCTAGCTTGAAGCCCTATGTTCCACGGGGAGCGTAAAGCAATATATATATATATATATATACTAAAATAAGGAAATGAAAGATAAATTAAGATCAACAAAAGCAATATTTATATACTACTGACTGATCGGTATGAGTAGTTGAATACTACTCACATCAGCCAGTAGTGCTTGCTAGCCAGAAGCGGTGTACCCAGTTTCACATGGCTGAGAGAGCCAAATCACCTGAAACTACTGCAATTCTGGCTGAATACTTGGGTGAACTGATGATACATTGAATCAAATTTGTGGTTCGCAGGTTACACATTCATTCACGCTTGTTCTCCTTATTTCTATTTATGGCATCAAGCAGACCATATATTGTGAACTCAATAATTAGGATTCCTAGAAGGAATCTGTGATGAAATTCCAACTAGAACTCTGTAATTTTCAAACCACAAATTTCTTATTTAACAATAAGGAGAATGGAATCAAAATTACTCATACAGTCAGATAAAGATTACCAAGATGAGTTAATTACAACAATTAACTCTTTCTACACATACCCACACATACACAAATGAGGCTTAATTTTATGAACAGCAATTACCAGAGAATATTTCATACTACGTGCCTGGCAAAATTGTGTGTGAACTCTTCAAGGTTCCTTTCACAACATTCTCACGCTGTATACAGAGAGCATATTTAACTGTGAACGCGTATAATTTTTGACCAACTGCACTGAGAGATATTTTGCAGTCTGATTGCTTTTCAAACCATCTGGGTACATTTTCTCCAAAAGACCGCCTTCAGAATGGCGACTGCCCCTCCAAGTATTTGTTTTTCGACACCCGGACGCACGTGAGTAAACTAATATACATTTTAGGATGCATTGTAACCATTTGAGGAATTTTCACTTGGCATAACGAGCATTTTCCGTTTGATAATGATAACTCAGACTGGATAGTATGTCTCTAACTCAAAATAATACTACTTCTTTCCCCTATGTAGCTAACTATTAAGATTTTCAACTTGAACCAATGAGTACCATCATTTAGAGAACCCCTTAAAACCAAGGAGTACAGCAAGGCTGTTTCACCCTAGTTTGGGACTCTTCATCACCATGCACCCATGACCCTGTTGAATATCGAAAACAGAACCTTCAGGTTACGAGGTGAGCCCACTAAACATTTAACCACTGGGACAGGTTGGATCCAATGACCCATGAATTCTATCGATTCGCGAGATTATCTGAAGATGGCGCTAAAAATAGAGAACTGATGGAAGTTAGAATTCATAGGACTTTAGGTTTCATCCGAATTGCTGAATGGTCAACAGATTTGCCTAGCAATTTGAAGGTTTTGGGTTAAATCCTCGGCAAAGTCATGAGTTTGTGCTACTGAAGAGCCTTGAATCAGGAAGAAACGGCTATCCAGTACTCCATGGCTTTAAATGGTTTTCTAACTGATATCAATACGTGATCACACATGAAATATAATGATCATAATTAACAACAATTTCAACTTACCAATCTTCAAATGCTTTTTGACATAAATATTGTTTTTCATTTTGTTCAGTTTCTTTTGTTTCCTTCTCTTGTTTTCGTTTAGTTGAAAGTTCACGTTGTTGTTTTATGATTAATTCATCTTTACGTGCTTTCCATACTTCAAATGCCTTTAAAATTTTATTGAAACAAAATACACTGTATAAATATAAGTGATTATTAATGAGCATATCTGTCATACATTTCAAGAAACAGATGCATGCTTCACAAAAAGACACATTGTTCCACAATGAAGTTATTTCGTGGATGGTCACTGGTAGTAGAATCCAGGGTGCGTATTCCGTTCTATTTGAGACTCATAATCTGAATGCGTTTGCAGTTCCCTGTGAGTGACACTCCTTCGCTTTGGCTGTTTTACGATGGATGCTGGGTACCACTCTCGGTGGGAACACCATAACTCACTGGAAATGCAGGTACATCAAGCTGAGGAGTCCCAAATAGGGTGGATTGCTCACCTTGGATCTCACTGTTAGTTACTGTCTACTAAATAAGGCCATATTAATTCTCAGACATCATCGAAGCATCCGTACTAGAGGTTGGCATGTCAGCAGGGATTAAATATCTTGGCCGAATATAATGAATCAACGGGAAATACAGACCTAACTTAAACAATTATTATCCTACAACGCTTAAGTGTGACTCACTCATTGATGTTTTTTAAATATGGCGGCTGGCAGAGGAATCCAGAGCATGTGTTTCGTCCGATTCGGGACTTATCATCTGGATACATACATACCTGTCTCCCAATGGGCAACACTGTTTCCCACTGAGACGTAGAAAGCGCATCAACTGTTTACAACACCAAAGCGTCCTTAGGACCTTAGATGCTAAGATAGATTGGTTGTTTCGATTCAGTAAAGACAAACTGCCTTAAATTCAAAATTTCCAGCATTTGTGATTCATTCAGAGGTCGTACAATATATGATTCTACTGAAATTGATATTTTCTTTGTGACATTTTATTCTGAAACCACTAGATACAAGATGTAGATCGGAGACTCACACATAAGTAGGTTCCTTGAATGTAATGGTCAACAGATTCTAAGTAATGCTTACATTCAACAAAATCAGTAGCACTTCATTGACGTAATGGTATCAATAGTGAGGAGAGTCTCTACTTTCTCTTGAAATTCTCCCACAGAGTTGTGTATTCATGACATTTGCAAGGGAGGTCCTGTCTGGCGTTTTCAAATGATGAAAGTGTTTAAACTAAATATGAGAAAATGAAAGTCAGTTTATATTTGTATCACTGTCAGTATGATAGGTAAACAAGATTCACTTCAGTGGGGAGAACATCTCCTGAAACTCTGATTTCTATTTGGTGTGGTGGGATGTGATTCTGGTAGTATTATTGTTCCCTTAGTTTCTCAGTGAAACCTATAGATTAAACCGCACATCTCCATTTCACTTTGTTCTCTGCCGTCTCAGTTAGCTGGCTTCACAATTGCGCATAAGCTTTCATCTCCTCCTCAGACTATCTCCTCCATAGCAGTCGTTTCCCACTCTGGTGCCATTCACGGGCCTGGTGTGTAGTGTCGCGGTCTTCTGAGACCACGCAAAATCCATCTTCATTCTTTTGTGCACATTTATCGGGTAACAGGTTCTTGGCTGGTTTGTTGCCAGCCACCTACAACCATGTTTCATTTCATCAGGTCAATGTGATATTAAGTACAACAGAATTCAGATGAAAGGCTTAGGTTTCAGACACATTTTGCAGATAATTCTAGACAAGAATGAAGTTTATGTAAAGGGTTTTCAGTCGACTTTCTTGCAAACATTTAATATGAATGGTAACTTATACGTATTTTGGCGTTGTTTTGTTTTCCAAAGCTGGATGGTTTAATTATTAATGTTTCTTTGTCCTCCTAGACAACGCATTCAGCGCTAACCTGAATATAAACCAATTTCTGTGAATTGTCCCTGAATAGTATAAATAACTCTACAAAATACTCAAAACTGTTGTCTAGAAGGACCATGACAGCTTCACATTTAAATCACACAGGTCATAGAAGACAACTACATTAGAAAAGTTCATCTGGTCTGCAGGTTTTCTTCATCATGTCTAAATCTTAAGTTCTTAGCACTCACAACTCATTTCTACTATTCAAAGTGTTTACTCTCAACTGTAGTTGCACAAAAGTAACTCCCAACCAAACAGAAGGAAGCCTTATACTTTCGAAGATCTTTACTTTCATGATCATTTGAAAGAAGAAAGTGGAAAGTAAGTCACTGGGAATCTAAAAGATTATCCTTCAGTGTATCTTTTCTTGAGTGAAATTTAATCCACTGAGTAAGGTGAACAATAAATAAGAAGTTGGGTGAAATCACCAACAAGCATGATAAATGAAATGGAGATGGAGTGAATACATGCTGGGGAAAAGTTCCAGTGACATCACTAGCCAGGCCCTCTAGTGTAATCCGGATGGAAAACGACGAGTTAGGTGTGAGTTCGAGGGTGACTTGGCGAAGACTATGTCAGGAGGGGATGAAAGCTTATGGGCAGTCATGGGACACGCTGAAAAGGACTGCAGAGAACCAAGTGAAATGGAGATGTGTGCTGATGAAGCTCTACACATTCTACTCGGAACTCAAAGGAATAGCAATAATAATAATGGGTAAAATCAACCATTGTGGTGAATAAGTCATACACACAAAAGGTAACCAAATATACCATAAACAATAACTTCATCAGAAGTAGGGAGAGTAGTAGAGGAAATAAGTAATCATGCCTTTTGTGAATTCAATTTACGTTCTCTTTCTTCTTCAAGTTTCTTTTTCTGCGCTAATTCTTCGGCTTTACGTTTTTTTATTGTATCAATTAAAATTTGACGCTTTTTTTGTTTCCATGTTTGAAAAGAGATTTCATTGGATTTCATTCTTTCTAATTTCTAATGGGAAAAAATAATAGAATAATAAAGTGGAAAAACAGTTAGTGTTTCAATTCAATTTCTCTTCTGTTTTACTTTTAAATTAATTTGAAATGTTAAACTTAAGTAATAAAGACACAATTTCAAACTGTTGTTGATAACTTCGCCACGTGGATAGCAAGCTCGGTAAAGATAGAAGGCTGGGCGTGTGAGACTACCAGCTCCCTCCCCACAAAAAGCAACACAGGCACTACCAAGGCTTGCAGTCTCATGTTTTACTGGGAATGCAAAGGAATTTTTTTAAAGTTTTTTCTTACTTTTTCTCCAATTTCTCGCCTTTCGAGTAGAAAATAAAACTTAACTTTGAAGTTTCAGTAGGAGTGGCGAATCTTTCGGGTGAGAAAGTGTTTTCCAACCTCATACCTTACCTTCCCTCTTCTCCTGGATTACTTCTGGCTGATAAAGTATGCAAAGAACGCCAAAGCTCCTGCTTGACTGGCTGATGAGCATTCTAACACTGACCTACCGATGTACAAAGTATTTCATAGTAATAATCTACTACTAACAGTATTACATATGCTACTTAAATAGAACTTGATGTTAAGGCTTCTGACGCTTTAAATAATCTTTTCGCTGAGTATAGAAGATTGTGAAGTTGTCTGTCGTTAATCAGACAATTTAAATTTTCACAGTACATTTCATGAGGGATCTATATCAATTACAGAACTAACCAAAACGGAAGAATATAATTAAGGTCATGGATGAACTCTGACAAAGTTAGAATCTACAGGTCATTGAATTCCGGCCCAAATAGCTGAACGGTCAATGGGCTTGATCTGTAACCTGAAAGACCTGGATTTATCCGTGGTGATATCATTGGTGAGTATTGCTGAAGAGTCTAAAATTTGAATAAAAAGGCTGTCCAATGCTTGCTAGTCTCCAATGATCTCTAACTGACGTTTGTCCATCACGAAATCTGCATTGAAATCAATACTAACACATTGAGTACATTGAATTGAAAGCTGGATGCTCAGTATTTTTCACTTTTATAGATTAACGACATCACATCATGGCTATCCAATGTCATTTTTTGAATACTATTTCCAGGCACAATGCACCCCTCAGGTCATAATCTTCTATGTAAAAACAAAATTCAGAAATTCCATCAAAAAGTCAGTCGCTAGTGAGCCATGGAATAATCTTCAACTGCTAGATGACAATGGAAGTATGTTCTGATGCAGCAGAAGTTGAGAAATACCGTTAGGTTATATTTACTTCCAAATCTACTGGCAAAATGTTCATTTCTTAATACGAAGTTCCCAGACTAGATCCATGAAGAAGATGTCATGGCTACGGACTGCTGTAGCATCCTAGGTAAGTATGAAGCAGTTATGTAGTGAAATATTTTCTTTCCAAAAAACATTCTTGTGTTTAATACTGGCGCCATATTTTATTCAACAATTAGTCAAAGTCTCACAAATGTAACAATAAAAAATCAATTGTGGCCTGAATATCAGATTAAACGTGGGACATCATGTCTGTTTGATCATTCAAGTATAAACCAGTACTGTGATGAAATGAATTTGAGTATCTGAGTATATTTTACTAGTTTGAGTTAATTATCCTACTATTTTCAAGTATTACATTGCAAGGGTTTGGTTGATTTCAAGATTTCGGTCAGCAAATGGTATCAGTTAGAGAGAGAACACCTGAAAACCAGCTAATACTGAACATCTTTTCCCTACTGGGCTAAAGACAACAGAAAATGACTTCATGGATCGGTGCCATATTCTGGTCTGACCGCTACTAACTCTCTTCCAACTTAGTAGTCCTATTTCATCTAACATTAATCGTCGAAGAAGGCGGTAAACACTCAACATCCAATGCCATTTCTCAGGATTTTTATTGACTTTTGGCGCTTTATTTTGTCATGAAGTAATAATAATAATAAAACTATGGAAGTATGAATCAGTTTAAGTTGTCCCAGTTTGTGAAAGTACTCACAATAACAGAGAAACTAAAACAAATGCAGCCAACGAAAGGAGGAATAGTTGAATGTAGAATAATGACGAATATGACTACATCTTTTTCTTCTTCTTACATAAACTGAAAATGAGGTCTGAAAAATCTGTATGTATGATCTGAAGTGTATTCTCATACAGTACAGAAGGACTTTTGTTCATTTCTGCCTAATCATTAAAAGCCTTCAATGAAAATCAAATATGAATAAACATCAAAACAAAATGTCTTAATCATGTGAACTCTCATCAAGATTTGACCAACTTTGATAAGACCAAGGCTCTGCAGAAAGAAATCCTGACTGCAAAAGCCTTATGTAGATTAGATGGCTGGAGACAATCGTTAGGAAGCCCTTCTTCACCTAGGTTTTATGCTAGTTGACACTTTTTTTTATTACAGCTTGATTCCACACCGTATTTTCAGTACAAGTATGGAATTTTCAGCATGGATATCGGTAGCACAAATTTTGAAGGCCGACCATAGATATCGGGTGTGCGTCGGCAGGGGATCGAACCCCGGACCATGTGCATGGTCGGCGAGAGTCCTAACCACTGTGCCACCGACGCACTTGTCAGTATGCCATATCTGCAACCTTAGAGGAACTCGTGTCCCTTCTGAGATTCGAACCCGCTCCACCCAGTGCTTCATTCAGAGATGTTACCACTGAGATATTCGAGTTCCTGTAGGACTTCATTGGATACTTTGATTAGACACTAGTTAGTAGTTGGTGTAATGTGTAAATGTAAATGTAAAGGTTTCCTACTGACTATCTCCAGCCATCTAATATCAACAACTCAAGGTGCACCGTGATGGTGAGCCACCTAGAATGGTGGCGACATTGCAAACTCTGCTGACAGAATTCAGTCTGCACCAAACAAAGGAGTAGATACAATACACTAGTTACCAACTTGTATACACTATATATACATATATATATGTATATATATATATATATATAAATGGGTGAATCCCAAAAGCATGAACAGACGTGAAAGTGTAATGTTAGTTGATTTACGGCAAGTCCTGATTAATAGATAAAAATGGATATGTATCGCAAATCAATCATACATAATCTAAATTCCCCAGTATCTATGTATTCTTATGGAGAAGCTAACAAATGATTTACAATAGTTCCCCATGCACACATACACGCGCACACACTTCAAATCGAAGTATGCGCTGAAGATGTTACCTAGCAAGGCAATGGAAGCTCCGCAAGTAAACCATCAAGCTTAGAAGGCACAACAACTAAATCAAAAAGTCACCATTTTATACCGCATATGCACATATATATATTTTTTAATATTCAGTTATCTATGACCATGAACTTTAGTCGAACGTATTCACTAAAACTTTGATGCAAAAGTACATACTGTTGACAATGTTTAGAAAAAAGTAGACTAATAATTGTAAGTCTACGTTGAAATTTTGATCGGAGTTCATACTATTTTGCTTATTTTGATATTTTAATATATGTGTAAAACGTGGGCACTGTGGTAGTAATTAATTCCACATTAGTTTGTTTATTAGATGTAACAGAAAGTAAAACAGTATTATTTAATGGATGACAAGGTTTCGAACAAAATTTATTGTTCGTAATCATTTCATCAATTATAATCACACGACTTCGAAACCTGAGTTTTATAGTTTTCTTTGTCCTCTCCTATTTATCGTCGTTGGGGTAGTAGAATTTTCTAGATATCCAAGTGGACAGGTGTTGAATCATTCCCATTACACGTGTTTGCAGTTGATTCGACAAACAAAGCTTCTGTTATCAACCTCTCCCTATACCCTGTGACATTAGATTTTAAAAGTGTCATTTTATCTTATCCTATTGTATGGTTGTGTGTAATGGCATGCAGTGAGTTCTATAGCTGAACTATTCCCTAGATTTCTTATCTTATTTGGATCAACCAATCTAGATTTTGCTGCTAGGTTTTTATGCTCAGTTAGTCTGACTGTCCATGATCTACTACTTTGACCTATGTATCTGACCTGACAATCATTGCAAACAGGGTATTAGATAAACTAAATTGTTTTGTTTTAAAGGCTCCACAGGACTGATCCTTCAACCGACAAAGCTTGTTTCTAGCTGAGTTTGTAGGTTTGAATTCTAGCTACTTTCATTCCTGCCTTGGTAAGAATTCTGCGTAAGGTGGTTTCCGAGGTTCCTTCCTTGTATGGAATTACTACTGATGATTTAGATTCCTTATTGTTGGTGTTGTCTTGCGCATGTTTGCCATTCATGTCGTCATTAATTTTATTATTATTATCACTATCACTAACTTTAGTCAAACGTATCCACTAAAACTTTGATGCAAAAGTACACACTATTTACAGTGTTTAACAAAAATTAGACTAATGATTGTAAGTCTACGGTGAGATTTTGAACACAGTTCAAGCAGTTTTAATTATTATTATATTTTGATGTCTGTTTCATAACTCAGATGATTGGACAGGGTTTTTAAGGACAAGATGTGTCCTTTTTACATATAGATATACCTTTACTATTTTAATGTTCATTAATTTCTCTGGAGTAGTTCAGATCAGTTTGCCAAACGAAACGTTGGAATTACTGATTTCAATTTCTCTGAGATTTCACATATTGAAATTTTACAAAATGTCTTGGTTTAAAGTTAGATCAATAAGTGACACTATTAAGAGAATTAAAACAATTAGTCCCTTGGATAAATTTGAATAAGGCATTTAGAAGACAAATTTCGTGAGATGATATCGTCATTTCGTAGTTTCTGTACAACCGCTTTACAACTAACATGGTTAACAATAATAAAATAAAGATCATGACAATTACTCAGTTAAACAAAAAACACAAAAGTACATACTAATGACCAATCATATTTAAATAGGTCAAATAGTCCATGGTAGGCGAAGATTGAAGTCTATTGTATTTTGTACACACAATTTAGGCTGTATGTGATTAATCCAAAGTGACTCCATCACCTTCAATAACCAACCCTGAATTAGAGTTATGTTGTGAAATAATTGTGAAACAGTCATTAATATTGATTTTCGTGACTTGACATTAATAAGTGTTTTGCAATGGATGATGCTAGTAAAGAGGAAAGGTTGGGCATGAGGCTAGCGACCCCATGCTGTAAAAATTAAACACTCCTACAGAAACTTCAAGCCACTAGCTTGATGCTCTATGTTCCACTGGGAACGTGAAGGAAGAAAAAAAGGATGATGCTGGATTTCTATTCAGATTAATCGCGTTGGGATTTTCTACATGATTTAGTAGCCATTTTGAACCAGATTATGCAGTTGACAGCTAAAAGACTTCGGTCAGCCATCAAACGTACATTCTACGCCGCATCTCTATTTCTCATTTGCCGAACATTTTCTATCCCTGTACCTACGATTAAAGGACGGAGTTCTATGGACTCTACTTCAAACTGTATCTACAAGTTCACCTGCAGCTGCGGTGAAACCTATATAGGTAGAACTAACAGAATGTTTCAATGTCGTAGGAAAGAACATGTTCCAGAATGGTGATTAAAACATTTAGAAAATCCCAATGCAATTATTAATCTGAATAGAAATCCAGCATCATCCATTGCAAAACACTTATTAATGTCAGGTCACAAAATCAATATTAATGACTGTTTCACAATTATTTCACAACATAACTCTAATTCAAGGTTATTGAAGGTGATGGAAGCACTTTGGATTAATCACATGCAGCCTAAACTGTGTGTACAAAATACAACAGACTTCAATCTTCGCCTACCATGGACTACATGACCTATTTAAATAATGATTGGTCATTAGTATGTACTTTTGTGTTTTTTATTTAACTGAGTAATTGTCATGATCTTTATTTTATTATTGTTAACCATGTTAGTTGCAAAACGAGTGTAAAGAAACTACGAAATGACGATATCATCTCGCGAAATTTGTCTTCTCAATGCCTTATTCAAACTATTAAGAGAGCTATCAGACAGCGGGAACTCTTGAGCAGTATGTACTTACAAACCCACTGGGGATCAAATCCAGGTTTAACCAATGGGATGGGATTCAATGGCCCGTGAATTTTTTATTTCTTCTAATTTGCTGATTAAATAACCCACCACTGGCAGCCAGTTCGTGAACACATTTAGAAATTAATCGAATCCCCGCGTAAACTAACACTTCAAAAACATTAAACCATTTTGAAGTCGTTTTGATAAAGAAAAATCTCACCTCTTTCTCTTTTTTTGTCTCATCAATTTCATTACGTAGACTGGATAAACGTTGAACACGTGCACTTTTAGTTAGTCGATTACACCATGAAGAAAAGGCAAGATCACGTAGAATATTTGCGCTTAATACTGTGTGTTCATCACCTTTATTATTATGTAATGATTTATTGATTGCATTTTTATTATATGCTTTTTGATTTGATAGAGAACATGAACTTTTTGATCGTTTCATCATTGAATTTTGATTCACTGTCTTGATTATAATATCAGGAATATTTTTATTGCCATTATCATCATCACCATCGTTATTATTACGAAGCAGGTTTTGTTGTTCTTTAGATGTTAAGATTGGTATATTGATGAATGAATGGTCAGCCTGTTGACTAGTTAGAGAGATATCACAGATATTTTGTTGACTTGAAATAAAGAAGGATAAAAAGACGGAGAGAATAATAATAATGAAATAAGTAATAAAAGAGAATTATTCAATGAGAAGAGCGTTTCATTACACCTATTATGATTATTAAGCATTATTTCAACTATTGGCAGTCTGAACCAATGAGGATGTCAAAGCCAGTTAGCCAGCCAGCCAGCCAGGAAGGCAGGGTTAGTAAAACAGGACAGACCTTCTTCACGATAAGGAACAAGACACCACTCTTTAACACTGATGTCAAGTCATTGATTCTGAATGGATCATAGACTTGAAGCATGCATTACTGAAAGCATTACCAACATACTAATACAAACTTTTATCAACGGTTGCCTCAACTAGTACGATAGTGAAGACAAATTGTCGGAAAGGAGAAGGACTTTGGCGGCCTGTTTGAATCACTGGGCCAACTGAATTTCAGTTTGATATGATGGGAGAAATGTACCTGTGAAGCATCGTTTCAACTACAGGCGGACGGAACTCATGAGGATATCAAAGCGAGGATCCGGAAAGTAAGGTGAGCTTTCATTACTCTCAAGTTTGTGTAGAGGTCAACAACACTACTCAGCATGAAAACTAAGATCCAAATTTTTGACTTCAATTTGAAGTCAGTGCTACTTTATAGATCAGAGACTTGGTGCGTCACGAAGAGCACTTCGAAAAAACTACAGGCTTTCATCGTCAGCTGTCTTCGATCAATACTTCGCTCAAGATCAGATGGTTGGCCAGAAAACATCAGCAACAAGGATCTCTGGGAGCAAACCAATACAGTAGGAACCAACTGTGCAACAAATAAGCAGGAGGAAATGGAGGTGGATTGGCTCTACCCTGAGAAAACCATCAAGCGACATCACACGCCAGGCCCAAATAGGAAGCGGCGAGTTGGTCGTCAGTGCGAGGGCGACATGGAGACGGTCATGTGAAGAGGAGATGAAAGCATGTGGTCAGACTTCGAGCCAGGTGAAAACGTTGGCAATGAACCGAACGCAATGGAGACGTGTGGCTGAAATCCTGTGTTCCTCTAGGAATTAAAGGAAACGATACTAATAATGGTGCATCTTATTTTCTTTAGTTCCCGTTGGTATAACCATTCACTTACGTCCGTGGTTGGCCAAATGTACTTATACACATTTTTAATTTAGATATAATGGAGAAGATTTTCTAGCACAGGTGGATGATTTCGATATAGTTGTGTTCTCTGAGCTGGATGATTTATTTGCGCAAATTAACCATTCGGCTCAGCGAACACAACTACATCAAAAACATTTTGAATTGGCTTACAACATCTACTGTTGCTCATTTCTGGGGGACCAATGAAAAATCCCATGAAGGATTATTTTATTGTTCAGATCTAACATCACTGACCACAAACTGAGGAGACCTTTTGAGAGACATCACATATCAGGCTATTACAGTGGGAACCGAACAAGAAATAATGATTTCGGATTGTGTCCGGAAGTGAAGTGGAAGAGATCATGTGAACAGAAGATGAAAGGTAATGGGTGTTGGAAGGGGCAGCTAAAATAGGCTGCAAAGAACAAAAGAAAAATGACGATATCCTAATGAAGGTCTGTGTTCACTAGAAACACTAAATTGTTATCATTATGATCAACACGACGAATGCAAAATAATAGAAAAATAGTGTGTCATTTGATTGTTAGCGGTGGTTATCAGTAGAATTAGGGAGGAGCGTTTCGTCCACTAATGAATTTACTTGCACCTCAATAAATGGAGATTTTCATACTTCAACTAGTATTAAGTACGCATTGCCGGAAATACCATAGCATTATCCTCTAGTCAGAATTCTATCATTTGAGTTGAATATTGGAAAACATAAATGAACCGTATATCACTCAAAAGATCATCAAGCTTGGAAGTGTAAGATAGTTTTCTAGAATAGAATGTTAAATAGCTTGTTGCTGGTTGGCTGGTTTCAACACAGAACTTTGAATCAATGTGCAGCCGTTCAAGTCGCCACACTCCCTCCATGTAGCACACAAAGTAAGAGAAGAAAGTAAAAAGAAATGCAAAACAGTGACAGTAAACAGAGATATGAGGCAAAAAGAATAGTGATATGGAAGAACCAAATAGCTTTATTGGTTATTATAAGTCACAAGGTGTGGATGCATCTGCACCAGTCATTGAGAACGATTTTGAGCCATATCAACGATCGTCTCCAGCCTTCATTGGTTTTTACTGTCCCGAGGACCCAAACTAGGAAGTCTACACCTTCCTACGTGACTGGCTTAAACTAACTGTTGTGGATTTCATTGACTCATGAAGCCATGTTTTGGTTTGACCGCCGCCAGCTCTTTTCTAGCCTGACCCCATGTGGACTAACATTGCCCGTCGAGGAAGGTGATGACTAGGCATGCGTAACACATGTCCTAACCATCTCAGTCGATGTAATTTCACAGCCTCGTCGATTTATTTCCCCTCTTTACCTAGCACTTGACCGAATCCTAACCTCAAGTATTGCTCACTTTATTATACCACTTCACACGAATGACAGCTAGCTAGTTTTTTCATGTCTTCCACTCTCAATGGCCAGGTCTCACAGCCATAAAGGAGGACGGAGCGGACTGATGAGCAGTACACACGCCAGGAGGATATCCTGCCTACACCAGAGGTGGCGTAAACTGGCATATGCGAAAGGGGCCTTCTGTATCCATGCAGAGATTTTGTCAGCGGTCAACCTGTTGACGTTGGCTGGTGCAACTTCCCAAATAAGAGAAGCTTGTTGAAAATGAATCAAGTACATGAGGTATAGATGTTACATTGATAAATTTTGAAATCTAGCTTGCTAATGCTTTGTTTACAGTTATTCAACACTGTACTACTGAAATGTTCATCAGTAAGATATTAATGACTAGTATAAGTAATCAAAAATCACTGATATGAAATTTGCAGTTTACAACCTACATAGTTTCAGGTGACATTTCACCACAGTTTCGTTTGGAAACTGAATTTACTTACATCACAACATGTGACCTGATTGATTCCACAAACAGTAATCAAGAAAGTAAGCAAAACTGCAGATAACTATCTATATACTACTGATTAATTGAGATGGGTAGTTGTATACTACTCATATCAACCGGTGGTGTTTGCTAGTCAGATGGAAGTGATCGTTTGGAGCTCTCTAAGGTGAGTCAAACCAAGCACATGGCTGATGAATTTGGTGCCAAACAAGTGGAACGGTTTTCTTGCGTTTAAACCACTTCACTCTGGTTAGCCAGCAAGCACTGCTGGTTGATGTGGATGATATTCAAACACTGATCTCAGTCGGTCAGGAGTATATAGTAAAAATCAATTACGCTGACCCAAAGAATTTACAGTATTAAAAAAACACTGAAGACGGCTGATGCTTCAATTCTGAATGAATTTCACTTCAACTAATCCGGATTAGGAAACTGAGTCGTTAGAAATACCTGTATTCTGGTTAACTAAATTATTGGACTTGAAACATAGAGTAGAATAGTATACAATATCAGGTAGGTCTTTCGTTGTACTTCTCATTTAAGCAGCTAACTAGAATTCAGGTGATTACAGTCGTGTAATTTTTAATATTCTTCTATGTTAAAATGTATCTGATTGGTTAAAATGCTAAAAGCCTAGATCTCACATGATTGGTTGTTACTAAAGGTTAATTATAGCGCTTAAAAAACCAGAATTTTATTGGTCATAATGTCTTTCAGTCATTCTTAAAGCTGGTTTCATCAGCTGACATAATAATTTATCACCATTAGAAAAGAGAAAAATGAAAAGGAAGACTAAGGAGCTTACTTTACATTAGGAATATGTTTCCGAGTTCGAGCAACAGGCTTTACAACAACTTCAGTTTCTGGAATTTCTCTAGACGCGTCTTTTTCACTTCTAAAGAAAGAGAAATAATTGATTAAAGTACACAATGATATAGTTCCTTTTTGACTATGAAAGAATTACTATTTCATTGTCTGATTTATTACGAATTCAATACAAGTTAATTAAATTAATGTCAAACAAAGAAATGTAATAGTAACAAAATGGAATTTAAAATCTAAAATTTTCAAGTGTTAATTCTCAAGGATTTAATCGGTTTCATGCTTGATCACAAACTGACTTAATTTTGAGAACCACTGCTTAGTAGTGTGCAACCATGAATCCACGAAACTGCAAATGGGCAGAATTTGCGATGCATAGGCCACTGGATTCCGTCCAAGTGGCTGAATAGTCAACGAGGTGACCTTTTAACTTGAATGCTTTGGGTTTGATTCCTGGTGGGGTAGTGAGTGCATACTACTGAAGTTTCCAAAATTGAAGTGAAATAGCTGTCCAGTACTGTTTTGTTTACAATGGTTCTTTAATTGAAGTCATTTTGTTTGCTTGAACATTCAACGGACTTCATTTGAAGGCACTACCCATCCAAAATCTCAAACCCACACTTTGTATCCGAAAGAAATACGTCCAATCCTTGTCCCTGCCATGGCCATCATAAATAGGCAATTCTTTTACTAGTGACTATCCCATCGCATTTCTTATCCAAACTTTCTGTTTATTCATGCTATTTCTAAGTTTTTCTTAATCCCTATTTACACTATCATACTTTCTTATCCGAACTTCCTGTCTATTTTGTTATTTCTACATTTCTAACCCCAAATTACACAATATGTCAACCTTCTCAGTAGTTATGAAGCTACTTTGTTTGAGTTTTATCCGTTACCCACCCCCTGTTTATTATAGCATTTTAATTCCTAATTGTAATTTTTATTAATTTAACCCCTAACCAGAAATTATTCTAGAGCTTTCCCAGCCATTTATTATAAATACACTAATCTACAGCCTAGATGATAAATTCGTCGAAAAGAAAATTTTCTTCGCTGCAACCATCTTTTTATTATTCCCTATGATCAAATGTGTATATTCAGTGATTGCTCAAAAGTGTCAGAAAAGTTGACTTAGCGACTTTTTATTGAAGAATAGTTCTTAGCTTCATCTGTCTTGAAGAGTGGAGTATGTTACTGTACAAAAGATACCTTGATCAAATAGCTGTGATCATTTTAAAGCTTCCAATAAGATATCAGATAATTTAAACATATATTAGCTGAATAATTGTAATTACGACTTGTAATAGTGTTGTTGACACTTTTTTTCACTTCCTTATGCGAACTTTCATCTGATCTGAGATTTATTGATTTGAAGTAAAAGGCAGTTACAATAAGTTCTTTTGTTGTCCATAAATCTATCGGCTTAATCGTATCAGTTCAGGCTGCTACAATTTTTAACTATTTATGAATAATGTACATATATCAATTACTCTACTCTTGTAGATTTAGATATATTGGTCATTCTACGTGTATCCTATTTAAAACAGTTCAAGAAAACTATCCCGCTTAGTTACAGAAAGGTAAAAGCAACTCAATATGGAGTGTCATAATTGAAGATTTTGTCAACACTAATCATTTTCTCTCAGCGAATTCCTCCTTAAAAGTGAACAGCAGTCTGAAAAAAGGAAATACTCATTTGCATTTCTGAATCTCTAGCCATTCATCTAAAGAAACTGGAGCTCTGGATACAAAAATAGAATTAATTGTTCAACATCTTCGTTGTTTTCCAGCAATATGATTTTTGATTTTTCATTTGTTTTGTTTTTTTAAACTCTTTATCCGTCTCGTATTTCTTTCAAACTCCTAAATAATGTCACATTTCCCATGGTCTCGAGGTGCATCCTGATTATAAGTCATCTATTAAATTCAGCTAACAATTCACCTACTGGTGTGGAGCTAGGTAGGTTGACCGTACTCAACGTTTGCTATCCAGATGTATCATCGAACACTTACCCACAATCATGGTTTGATAAAGGAGAAAAAGGCCCCCCCACCACCACCACCACCACCACCACTACAGCTTTATCCTGGAACACCTGGTCGAATCAAAACACTAAGCAAACCCACAAAACAAGTTCAAAGTTATCTACAGAATATGTGTGAATCTTGCTAAGAGAGTACGAATCAAACTTCTTCAAACCGCATCCACATTTTAAAACCTGAACTCTGCATGCAGAAGAAGTTTGTTCAGTCATTTGTTAACACCAAATACATAATTTTTTTCGCTTTTTTCTTACTTGTTTGTTTTTTAACTGTATTAGTATCTCCCCCTACCGTCAATTAAATCTCTACCCCCTTATTACCACTGTTGTTAACTTGACTTTTTTCAATATTAATTTTAGCTGAGCACTACTCAACCCCGTCAGTTAAATTACGTCAGTCAACTTGCTTATTTAACCTTATTTTAGTCTCCAACTGATTAACGAAATCTGTTATCTAAAATTTATAATCCTGATGACACAGCCTTGGAAATATCCCTTCAGTTGCTAAGACAATTTACTACATATATATATATATATATGCGATTGTACAGCTTGAGAATGATATCGCCGGAAAGAGTAACTTTTCGCTGAACGCCTTTTCTTTTATATTAAATTTAGAAAACAGAAAGATTGAGCGAAGAGATATTTGCTTTTCAATTAGATCCTCATCTCTGGCTCTCCTCTAATATATGTATATACCATATTTATTACAATACACAACAGTTTACCAAACAAGTGGCCATATGTTTGTTAACAATAATTAGTCACTGTCAAAATATCAGTGGGTTAATAATAAACGAAGAAAATCAATACACATTAACAAAGTAGAAATGGATAGAATAAATTAATTTTACAGGGATAACACGTAATTAAAGATGAAGTGGTCAAAATAAATAAAAATAGAATAATTTGGACAATTATAATTTTTAAAGATTTAGGAGGAAGGGGCGGGAATCTGGTGTCTCTATATAGCCAAATTATGTACACCTTATCTTCAACGAACAATCTGTACAGACCTTCGCGTTGTAGTACCTCTGTCCTTCATGTTGTGTTTCTTTGTGTTTCTTTCAAATCTTCCGTGTATCTTCACAACACTGTACCATTTGACTTCTCTGATATCAAATGTATCTCCTTGATATTTGATGTTTCTATACCGATGAACGTCTCTCTATGTACTACTGGTAAATATTATCAGTAGCGCTTACCACAGTATTACCGTACTTTTGTGCAAAGTTCTAAGTTGAAAATTCAGTCTTTTTTCATTCATTTTTTCACATATAATGACAGAAACGGTAGAGAGTTGGAACGGTAGGCAATTTTGTAGGGATTAATATCTTTAAATATTCCCATTATTAGTATTCGAACAAGACATATAAGCGAAGAATATTGTTGTTTTCAGTTAGACCTTCAGGCTCTAATCTAATTTACATAGATTTATACATAAAAATTTTAACCAATGACGGTGAGTTTGTGGATCAAGTGATAACAATACTATTAATAATGCGTTAATTGTTTTGAATGTCAGTAATAACGATGATTATGATGATTACAAAATAATGATAAGAATACCGAAGGTAGTAATATGTGTGTATGTAGACAATTCAATAAATAAATAATTAGGTTAAGTCTTGAAAGTTATGTAATATTAAGGGAGGAGTGGACAGACAATCAGAGTTTAAATAAATATCATAAAAGTATGAAGAAAATGGAAATAATAAAGAGTGGGAGGGTCTTAATTAAAATTTACCCAGGCCAAGGCAGAAACAAAGGTAGAACAAACTCCTCTTGTATGCAAAAATTAGGATTGTTCTCTCGAATTCCCACAGCTTCATATATGTGTAAAAGACGGGTTCGAATTCTCTTCGAAAGGTTCAGTGGAATATGGTAGATAACTTTGAAGGCACTTCTTCTGTCCACTTGGTGACCACTATCAATTAAATGAGTTATGATAGAACTTCTTATAGATTTTATCTGATCTTTTTCGAGGATTAAAATCCTCCGTCTCTTAGTCAAATTGTTCAGATTCAACAGCTGACAGCTTAAAAGATATTGGAATCATACTAAACGATCTCTTTTTTTACGGTATATTCACTGTACTGGGTTAGCTGATTAGACATTTATAAAGCTTGTCAGATCAGTATCGGAAATTAATCCATGGGATTAGAGTTATTATTAGCCTTTTTCTATAAAGGCAAAACAAATTTTGTTTCTGGCGACACCCTGAGGCACAAAAATCCAGTTAACTGAGACAGGTAATGAATATAAAATCAAAAACTTGTAACAGTTAAACCACAAATACCAATATTGTTTGCTACTCTGTGAATTAAATATTTTATTGCTGTCTGTTAAATTAATTTCTGTCTTTTATTCGTATTCCTTCGCTATTCTTTTACATGCATGAAGACTAAAAAATATAACTGAGACGGTGACAAGATTTAGATTGATTTAGATGAGTTCTAGGCGCCACTCGCCAATGTATTCAAAAAGCTATTGAACATTTCCAGCTGACTGTCGCTTTCACTTTGCTATCCTCTAACATTCAAAAATTAAACTCATAGTAATGATTCATAAATTCTTAACCTCTTGTTGTCTAGTTGATGAGTTAACTTAAATATCATAGATGAAACTTCCTCATGTAATAAGCATTTTTGTAATCGATATCTCTCTTGATAGAATCACTTTCTGTACGTATGTATATGTATGCATAGGCTGAAAACTTAGCTCACTTTTTAACTTGAGAGTATTTAAATTTGACTTCACGCAGAAGTAATTACAACGAATGAAAATGATTATAATATGAGATTTTCGAGAATTCATTTATAAGGATTGAATTTAAGACTTTCCCGTCGATTGATTGGACCGAAGTGCTCGGTTTCAGGTTGACATGTCGGCTTCTTGCGCAGATCCAGGTACATCCAGATGACGAGTCCCGAGTAGGACAAAATGCGCATCCTGGATTCCACTGCTAGTCACCATCCACCAAGGATTTGATTTATTTATCGAGTTTGACCACGGATTGACATCAGTTAGAGAACCATTAAAAACCAGGGAGTACTGAACAGCTGCTGTTTCATCCTAGTTTGGGAATCATCGGCAGTACGCACCCTAACCATGGAGTTCAAACCCAGGACCTTCCGCTTACAAGGTAAGCTGCCTCATATACCATTCAGCCACTGGGACCCAATTCAGTGGCCAGCCCATAAATTCTAACTTCTACTAATTCGGGATTTTTAGCGCGACCACTTACCAATGTCATCGGTGGGAACTCCATCCTCACACCTGAGTAGATGGACCTCACTGGTCACGACTTCTCACTAGAACTCCAGGAAATTTCGCCATGTAGCAGATCAGTAGTGAGTAGAGTCCCAGTGGCTGAATGGTATACGGACCAGCTCGCCTTGTAACCAGAAGGTCCTGGGTTCGAACCTTGATGGTGGGTGGCTAATGCTGATAAGTCTCAAACTAGTATGGAAAAGCGGTCGAGGACTCCCTGGTTCTCTAACTCGATAAATATATGAGATAGTTTGTGCTGGTGAAGAAAAAGAAAATCAATAAATAACAGAGCAGATTTGTAGCTCAGGGAGATAACTTTGATGTGACCACATGATTTGGGCTGGACAGTGGTCTAATTGAGAAGTTTTCATTTCCCTACTAGGCAACAACATTTCAGTGCAAACTTCAATATGATATGAACTAATCTGAGTTCTCCATGAATGATATCATTGTATCTGTCTTTCAACTCCGAGTCCATCAACATAAACTAGCTGTCAAAATACATGACATGCTGCATTTCATATCGACGCATGCAAACAATTATGAACACCAATTTAACTAGTAAAATTTAGAAATTTTTGAACAATGGAAACATCAACAGTAATGCCAGGTAATTCTTAGAAGCCCCATACTCAGATGAATTAGCGATTAACAGACACATTGTTATAGATAAAATTTATCAAGTGAAGTTGTATTCCAAGTCAATAAAAACGATGAATGCCAACATGAATTAACAACCAGTCACAACAGAGGCTGTCAGAAGATACAGCGATACCATTCACAAGGAGAATTCCAACAAGTCCACATCATATTGAATGTGCTCCAAAGCGATTATGTCTAGAAGATAGACAGTGAAAGCTGATTTGCAGTTGAACTACTTGGCTTAGACAGCTCAACTACATTAAGATCAATAAATGAAGTATCCCTAATAACGAAAGTTCTTTAAGGAACAACATACGTTGAAGTAAATGAGACCGACTTGTGTACAATTCATATTTTGTTACTGTAAGCCGTTTCAGAGTGGTGAAACTTGAAGCGGTGCACTTCTACATTGCTCTCTCATTAAGCTGAAAAAAAATCTTGTTTTATTAAACTTGTCAATTTCTCAACCTGACGTCTGATCTCCGATTAAAAGGTTATGTTTAAGTATTAAAAGTATCACAGAAAATGGAATCTCTTGCTACTTTAGAATTCGTTAGCTGTCGGACTGCATCCTAGTGGTTCGCCAGTTAATGGATTTGGCTGGTAACCTGAAAGTTCTTGGTTATATCCAGGTGGGATTAGGGACACACTGCTAAAGAGTCTTCGAATAATACGAAACCTCTGTCCACTTCTCCCTGATTTTCAATAGTTCTCTAACTGAAGACAGTTTGTGATTTAGAATTGTATCCAATCAAATCCTGCAGGATTAAACACCTAAAATATTCTAATCAATATTCTAATAACTTAGTTCAATAATACTTATGAAAAAATCACGTGTACTACAGAAAATGGTGTGTCGGTGGTACAGTGGTAGAATGTTCGGCAACCACGCCACCTGTGGTCCGGGATTCGATCCCCAGCCGAATTGCTCCTTTACCTCTCTGGGCCAGTAATAAGACTGATAAAGAGGGAAAGTTGGGTATGAGGCTAGCAACCCCATCCCGTAAAATTAAATATCACTGCTACCGAAACTTCAAGCCTCGAACTTGAAGCCCTATGTTCCTCTGGGAACGTAAAGGGATAAAACAACAAAAACTACGGAAAATTGTAATTTCTATAAATTAGACGACAGTATACTTCTGCTTACTCTGTAACTTCAATATAGGCCGCTGTATCATTTGTATTACTTTCATCCAGTGCAATATTTTTCAAGTTGTCCACACTTGTAGGTGTTACACTCGAAGGTGGGATATTACTTTGAAGTGAATTTTCATTGGATTCGTGTTTCTCTTCAATAGATTTCTTATCATCAATATCAATTTTAGAATACTCCTGGTAGGAATGTTGATCACTAACGGACTCAGTATTTTCAGATATTTTTATCTCATCTAAAAGGAAGAAAAATATTACGAAATAAGTTTTTTTCTGTTTTTAGCAGAGTCTGAGAAAGACAGATGGTTTAAATAAGAAATCTTCATGAATACATTGCAGCAATGATCAACAGGAGACTGAGTACGCCACTAGCCATAGCCTATGTTGCAGCTAAGCTCGTCTCCGTCTATCGAACAACTTGCTCATCTTTGGTGTAATCAAAAATCGATAGATATCCTTCTCATGTTAACTCCAACTGTACAAACAAATATACATGTATTTGCGGGGGCAGTTACATTGGAAGGACAGAAAGAAGAAGGGCATATCTACGATTTTCTGAACATGTACCAAAAAGCTTACGTCTAAAGGGAACAAATGCTTTAAACAGTGCCATCGCCAGGCATCTCCTCAACACGGGTCATGAGGTGGACATCGAAAAGTTGTTCAGAATTATCAATAGGCAAAAGAGCTGAATTCTCCTCAAGTTTGCTGTGCGTTCAAAAAGAAGTGGTTATCAGTCTTTCTTTCCCCTGGTAACTGGATATTTTTCATCTCTCTTTCATCTGAATGAGTAGTGCTGAAAAGTTTTCACTGTGTATAATTATTATTGTTCGGAATATATGTTTAATATTAAATATATAAATATATATTTTATTACTGTATGCATATATTTATCGATTGATTTTTGTTTAAAATGAACTCTGTGCAAGTATGTTGAAATTGTTTTTGTAGATATATTTAATAATCTCTTTAGCCTGTAAGCAGCTGCCGAGAAGGCAACGAAATAAAAGACGGTACCACTTTATTCTGCAAAAACTGTACTTCTTGCTTTGTTCAAATTCATTAAGGGGAATAAATGTATGAAATATACTTTTAATTGAATCCTAAGCAAAGAGAAATGACAGATTATTTAGAAGTCGTAAAATTGATTTATTTTTTTTGAAGTTTATAGCTATCAGGCATTAGCGTGGCGTGAAATAGATTCTCTAATATCAGCATAATTTTGGTTTCTGAACATGATAAGCCACCGCCTTCTTGTTCGACTAGCAATATTAGCTGATACGAGGTTGGTTTGGAAAAAATAGTTTGAAAAATGGTGAAATTAAAGCCTGACATCAGTCTATGAAGTCTTCAAACTATCATTTTGATTCAGTTATGCAGGGAAGTGTAAACTGTCTGACTGGGGTCTTCTGGTGGAGGGTGAGGACCAATGGCTTGAGACTATTAGTGTTTTGGCTTAAATTCTTTCCTCAATGGCTTAGATGCATTCTTTCTATATAATCTCACGGATCCATTAAACCCGTATGTTTTTCTATGTTACCATCCTTCCCTCCTCATACTTCTTTTTATAGAAGTTCTTTTAAATTTATTTTCTTCTGTTTTTTCTACATTTGTTTGTTGCATTATTTGATTTATTATTATTATGCCCTTGGGTTCCAAGTAGAACAAACGGCTTCAATAACACATCTCAACCTTGTTCTATTTGAGGTTGTCCTCTCCATCAGCGTCCACGATTACCTATAATCTCTTATCTCGTCCTCACATGATCTCATCTATGTCACCATCAAAGTGACGACCCACTCGTCGCTTCCCATTGAGATCTCACTCTAGCAACAGCCTGGCACGCGATGTCATTTGGTGGCCTCCTCAACATATTTGTTGAGCGACTGACCCTTCGTTGGTTTGTTCCCAGCCAGAGTTTCTTGTAGCTAATTCTTTTTGGCCTGCTGGCCATTTGATCTTCAGTACGGAGCCAGCGAAATGGCAGCTGTTGATAAAAGTTTGCGGTATCTTGTTGGAAATCCTTTTCGTGACTGAAATGCAATGCAAGTTTCCTGACCAGTATATAGGAAAATTGACTGACTTCACATTTGTGTTGAAAATCCGAATCTTCTTCTTTATGTTGAATGAGTGCAGAAGATTTCCAAACTGGTTTCAGGTTGACGAAAGCGTATCTTGCCTTTCCGATTCTGGCTGGCTTTGATATTGATGCATACTCTTATCCAAAAGCGGATGCCATTTAAAATTTTTAAACCCGTGTACAAGTTAGTTTTAAAACCTACAGTCTGTTCTCTCTCTAGGAAAGATATCTTCATCATAAAATGAGGATATAAACAGTAGGATTTTTAGACAGAGACTAAACTCGGTCACCCGTAGAACCTACTATGCAACCAGACTTGTAACTAAGACAAACGAGCTGTGAAGCATAAGTAGACGTAGGTGGCAAACTACCAACTTCGCATATACTATAGCTAAACACTTACTTAATCGATATAAACCACAAGATTGGTATCAAAACAACTTTTAAGGTTATTTATAAGAACGGTCAAGGGCACCATTCGAAATACGCAGAGGCTATAAGTATTCATAAACTTAAGACCCCCTGTGTGTGTTCAAAAGCAATTTATTATTACTCTTAACCCACCTTGGTAATCCTTATCGGGTTATATCACCAACAGTAGTGTTAGTTATTCTTATCCTTAAGTCCTTTTTGTCACTTTGTTTATTTTAACTGGCCTCTTATTTTTCATATAGATTAATTTCATGAGTTAGTGTGTGGTCAGATTGTTCAAAATGTCCTGCACGAATGTATCACATTCTTCATACAGTTTCCATCTTCTAACAACGATATTTAAATTAACGTCAAGTAGCTTCTTTAGTGATTTTGTATTGTGTGCTTAGAGGGATGATGTAATCGCAGCAAATATTACGTTTGTCTGTCTTAAGGATGTTTTATCCGCTTGAATTTTGACACAGCTGGAATATAAGGACAAAACCCAGGTTTTTGTATTTCCCAATCAATGAAAAAAAAACGATATTGTTTTTACTGACGTTTCGCTATTTAATGCTGATGCTAATAGCCTTATCAAAGTATTATTAAACAGGAATTTACAAAATCTCAGCATATATATAACAAAGAGTTAAGGGGTGAGAAAATAGACTTAGATCTGACCTGGTTACAACACCTCCCTCCCCTCCTCCATGAAGTGACAAAATCAACACGAATGTGATATGCAAGTTCACTATGTAAACACACTGCCTTTATAATTTTACACACTGATCAAATCCAACAATCTACACTTCATTTTGTTATCTTTAACAACTGACCAACTTGACAACGAAAAATCACCCCAGAGTGACGAACGATGATCACGTTAGGAAACTTTATTTTGATATCGTAACAGACGTAATATTACCTTTGTTATTTGGTTTAGTGATCTTCATTGGTATTTTAACTTTCAATATGCCCTTTTAACTTGACTTAACTTGTCTATTTTCTCACCCCTTAACTATTTGTTATATATATGCTGAGATTTTGTAAATTCCTGTTTAATAATACTTTGATAAGGCTATTAGCAGCAGCATTAAATAGCGAAACGTCAGTAAAAACAATATCGTTTTGTTTTTTCATTCATTGGGAAAAACCAAAACCTTTATTATAATGAATATCATATACCCAATGCCCAAATTTTTTCAAACTGTCAAAAGTGAACTTGGTTTGGTCATAAATAAAATAAAACCTAGGCACTGTGGTAGAGTATAATTCCATTATGGATAAAAATTTGTTATTTTGATAAAGTCGCACAGTAATATTTACTGATGACCACCTTTCGAGCACAACTGATTGCTGCTCATAACCATGTCAAAGTACTCACACAACTTTCTTGCTTCGTTTATATACATAAGTGAAACTGATTAGACATATGAATAAAAATCAATAAAAGTTCATTAGACATGTGTGAAACAGACAGGAAGATAAAATACATTCGGAAACGATATTAGTGTTATCAATCAAAATACAATACGATGGAAAATAAGATGAGTGTTGTTAGTCAATAAGACGCTTTTATAGTAAAACAAATACAGTTGCAGCGAAGAAAATTTTCTTTTCGACGAAGTCATCATCTAGGCTGTACATTCGTGTATTTATATCAAGTGGATGGGAAAGTTCAAGAATAATTTCTGGTCAGGGGTCAAATTAATAAAAATTACAATTAGGAATTAGAATACCATAATAAACAGGGGAATGGGTAAAACTCAAACAAAGTAGCATAATAACTAAGACGATTGACATTTCTAACCCCCAATTGCACAATGTCAATCGTCTTAGTTATTATGCTAATTTGTTTGAGTTTTACCCATTCCCCTGTTTATTATGGTATTCTAATTCCTAATTGTAATTTTTATTAATTTGACCCCTAACCAGAAATTATTCTTGAACTTTCCCATCCACTTGATATAAATACACGAATGTACAGCCTAGATGATGACTTCGTCGAAAAGAAAATTTTCTTCGCTGCAACTGTCTTTTTATTCCCTATGATCAAATGTGTATATTCCGTAAAACAAATACCTTGTTAGTGTTATAATGTGAATTGAATGCATACATTTTAACATTATGCTCTGATTTGACTGGTAATAATATCTTCTAAATCTCTAGTATTTGCTTTGAATCACTTGTATTCCATGTGTTGGGTGTAGACTCGATTAACAAGGATTCAAAAGTCAATCTCTCTCTCCACCTACTGATATAACTATTTAGAATTTTGAATCTGTCCCACCCTACTGTATGGTTGTCTAATTAATTTCGTAACGACAGAAGACAAGGGTCAGGCAACAGATCTTTTATTGAGGAAATCAAGAGATATTTATAGATTTTTATATAGATTACTATTCGTTATTTTAGCAGAGAAGCAACGCCTTCTGATTGGCTTTTCTTGTTGAAGGTTATTCTGTACTGTTGTGGCCGTTTCTCAGAAAGTTACGCTATTTATCTGCGAATCGTATTTGCACACGCTTAGTCTGCTGTGATTAGTTGTTGAGTTCCTCAAGGTTAGGCTTTAATCTTGTTTTTTCTCATGACTCCGATAAGGGACGTAAACACTGACGTAAATTATAGTCTACAATTTCGTCTTCCAGATAGCTCTCACCATAATTTTACTTATGTGGATAAACGAAGCAAAAAAGTTATGTGAGTACCTTGATATGATTATGATCAGCAATAAATTGTGCTCGA